TGATTGCTGAAATGGAACATGCTACAACTGCAGGTTCCAAGAAGTTAGTCTGTTGTTCATGCTTCAAAATCTCCTGTAAGGAAACTAAAATCAGTCACATAGAATATGACAGATGCCTTGTTCTTATTTTGAGTGGTGTCAGCACTTCAGCAGAAGCCGATAGTTAGGAATTGGACATCCAATGCACCAAGGCTTATAGAGACCACTTTAATAAAGTGTAACACATATAAAAAAAAAATTTTAGCTTCTTATGTCCTTCTTCTGTGATATCCAATTAACAATTCACAGGCTGTTTGAGTCAAACTGTATTGTTTTGTAATTGGAAAAAAATCAGATCCAAAGGTATCCATTTTACTTCTGGAGCCAAATTTCATAGACATTAGGGCTGGAAGGGACCTTGGAAGATCGTTGAGTATTCTAGTAGAAGTTAACAACGTGTCATTGAAGTCCATAAGATTCCCTGGACCAAGTTGAAGGCAGGATGGTGCCCTCAATCTGAATTTAATATTTGTTATATGGGTCAGTGGCATTGCATTTACTTGTTTTCATTAATGAAAAGTACAGGTAACTAGTGGACTAGAACTGGTCCCCAGTAGTTACTGGAAAAGTTGTTGTGTTGAAAAAGTGGTACCATTCTGACAGAAAAACTATCTCAGCTGACTATACAAAAATAAGGGATGTCTTAAAGAGTAAATTTGTGAACGAATCTGGTCTAGTAACTGTGAAATAAATTAGAAGCTGACTGTTAAATAGTCAAGTAACAAATGAAAAATCTGAAGCGCACAGTGTTGTATACAAACTACCGTAATGTTGCAGTGTTGGGAAATATCTGATGTGTAACAAAAGTTAGATGCAACCTACTGCTTCTGACAAATGGCAAAAGTTTAATCTTTGCTAAATGTTTATATTAATTGTCTTGTAAATAAAGGACAAGACCAACATTATGACTTACAATGACTGTTTCTGGACAGAAATAACCACTTACAGAAAAGTTCAAAAACTTAAATAGGTCTTATTCCGATACTACTTTTGCATCGGAAATGTTGTTATCTAGCCAGGTCCTAATGACTAAAATAGAACTTGAGCACAGTATCAGATGCCTTCAGATAGCTGAAAGAAAAATATATCAAACTCTACTGTAAGTATGACAAACACTTTCACCAGATTCAAGGAAACATTTTTTGTCTGCTTATAGGTTTAAAACTACAACCAGAAAAATCTGCATAGCATCTTTTGTGGTCTGCTGAGCTAAATTTCATTGCCCACAATGTTCAACTTAGACTGGAATGTTTTTGATCAGTTTAATTGTAAACCTTCTTTACTATAAAGTGGCATTGATTTTTATTTAAAAAAACATTGGTATTTATGGCTCTAATGAGTTACTAAAAGAACTAGTTTTGCTGATGTTTGTCCTTATTTTCAAGTCTAGGCTAGGTAACAATATTACTTGGCAGCCTATGTAAAAATGAGAAACATTACTCCTGCTCCTAGAGGGCATGTATCTATATCACAAACATCCCTTCTTAGCACGGAAGAACAATGATTTCATTACCAGGAAGACTAGGGGCGGGTCTTACCAGTCAATAGTGAGTTTTGCTGGCTTGCACTGTTACTTTGCGTGTGCTACTTCTTTAAATGTACAAAGCAAATTCTTTGTTTTTTCATGTAATCCTAGTACCTTTCCTAGATACAAAAATAATATCTTTTAACTTCCTTTTTTTCTTCCCTTTTTTAATGTTTGAATTTCAATGTCTTTGCATGACAACCCCCTCTTCTCTCCAGGGGGAAAATAAAACTAATTAATTTTGGTTGGGAATTTTTGCTTTGCATCAAAAAAGCCTAAATTAAAATCTCATTTGTAGTCAATAAAGACAGAAGTCCATTGCTTGAATATTCTGGAGTTAGCTGAAAACCTTCCTTCCAATAAATTCAGACTGGAAAAATTGTTAACTGAAGGCAATACCCTTTAAATAGGGGAACTATTAAAGCACTTTCAATAATTGGGCTTCAGTAGAACCATGCTAAATCCTACTACATTTACCAGAACACTTCATGTATTGTACATGATAGTATCATCTTCTTGTCAGCAAAAAACCTTTAGTGGAGTAATAAGGGTAATTAAAAAAAATCTTCAGAACTTCTACAAAATGCACTATAATAACTTACATCATACTGGAAAGCATTATCTTAATTCAAAGTAGATTTTTTTTTTTTAGGGAAAGAATGTTTTTAATGTCATTTCATAAATGGACTCCATACTACTAATATTTTTCCTGTTCACAGGGCATGTCTACATGTACATTAATGCACCTTTGTTACTGCACATTAAGTTTAGTATCTCTAATATGAGGTACTAGATAAAGGCACAGTAGCAGCACTAATGCACAGTAGCAAAGGCAATTTTTTGTGATACTTAATGTACAGTAGATTAATTCTACTGCTTATTAGCGCTTCAGCGTGATTTTTGCTGTGACATGCTAATGTGCAGTAGAACAGTCCACTGTGCATTAAAGTGTCTTGTGTAGATGCACCCAGGGTATACAGAGACCATCACAAGGGTATTATTATATCTATCTTAAGATATGTGAAATGGTAGAGAAGAGAAATTAAGTGTTCATAAAACTAGATCAATTTAGTTTTCATAAATTATAAAAAGCTTTGGAAAGCTATTAATGCACTTAATATTTAACCTCTATAGTTAACTATACCACTTACACTTCAGAGAAGTAAAATTTAAAAAATGTATTTGGGGGTGTGCACACGTGCATGCAGAAAATAAGATGGTGTAAGAACATGCTTTAATGCAATAGTTGCTAAATCTGTTAGAGTGTTTGTGAATAGTTTGCACAAATACATTAATTATGTATTTGAAATATACTTTTAGAATGGTATTGTGGGGTTAAAGTACCATAACTTATTTATATTAATCATGGTTATCAATCATACATCTCTGGCTTATTTATAGTCATCTCAAAGAAAGCAAATCTAGGCCTAGTTTGTATTGGAAATATGTCTATACCACAGAAACATGTATGATTCTACAGAAAGGAGTGTTTAAATAGGTGTTTGTGCAGTGTCTGACATTTTAGACTTAACTAAGCCAATGAAACAATACAGTGTTAGAGAACCAAACATTCCCCATTTCTTTTGTGAGAGGTTGATACTCAAATCTAAAAACTCAGATGAAATATGCAATGTCTTACCCAAATCCAACTTAAATTTTGCTTAACTACAATTCTGGCAGGAATTAGATTACATGCATTAATTAGCCTTATCACATTGTAGCTGGTTGACTATGAGCTACTTGCAGATTTTCTTGGCAAATAAACCGGTTGCCCATCTTGCATATTTTATAGTGTGGTATAGTTGCTAACCCAAATTTAACAAAATTGAGTAGGCCTGTGTGAAGCAGCAAGTATTTGCTTTGGATTCATCTGATTCAGAAGACAGTGATTTGATTCAGAGATTTGAATCTCTGTCCCAATTCAGTTCAGCCAAATCAGATCTGAAAGGTTTGGCACTGCTTCAGAGATTTAGCCATAGACTAAATGGGTAGCTGACACAGCTGCCTCCAGCTGGTAAGTCTGTTGGGGTTAGGGCTGGGACAAGTTGCCCAGCCAGGGCATGTTACTTGGGCGGGGGGGAAACAGGTTGTGGGTGCAGCAGATCTCAGAGCAGGAGCTCTGCCCTGCTGCCATTTGCCCAGCTGGCATGGGGTGGGAGAGGGCACGATGCAGGAGTGACTCGCTCCAGGCGGAAGGGGGCAAGTGGCATCAGGGCAGAGCCCCCACTCCCAGTGCTGCCATGCCCACATCAGCACTGGAATTGGTGATGTGTAGGGGGTTCATGTGGGTGCACATGCATCCCTTTAGCTTGGTGGTGCACCGCCTGCAAAAAGCGCCGCCAGCACTGCTGGTGGTGCCTATGGGCAGTTGCCATTTGCCCCACCTGCTGCCAACAGCGTCTACAGGTGGTCACCAATCACTGGTTGGCACTTGCCACCCCTCCTCCCCTCGCCGGTGGCATCTGCAAGTGGTCCTCAATTTGCTGCTGGCCGCTGCTGCTGGTGACATCTGCGGGTGGTCGCCGATTGCTGGTCGGTGCTCTCCACCCCTGCCCTGCAGCCAACACAGCCATAGCTGCCTGTGGGAGCACCCCGCTTGTTGCCGTCATGTTCGCTCCGCTGTCTGCAGGCAGTCGCCATGGCCCCCCAGCCTCCAGGGGCACGTGGTGTTCGTGAGCTCTGGGAGTGGGGACTACACTGCCGTCACTTGCCAGCTAGCGTGGAAGAGCGTGTGCTGTCACCGCTTGCCAGCCAGCGTGGGAGGGTATGCGATGTGGGCATGACAGCGCTAGGAGTGGTGCCTATGCCCTGCTGCCGCTTGCCCCCTTCCGCCTGAAGCAAGCCGCACCCACATCCTGCCCCTCCGCCCCAGCTGGGCAAGTGGCAGCAAGGCAAAGACCCTGCTCCAAGCGCTGCCATGCCTGCATCCCATGCCCCTCGCCCTGACTGGGCAGTTTGTCCCAGCCCCAGTTCATCCCTCATCCACGCCCCTTCCCTCCCCCATCTTCCAACCCCAACAGACTTACCAGCTGGAGGCAGCTGTCTTAGCTGCCTGTTTAGTCTATGGTCGAATTGCCTAATCTTTTCCCGAATCAATTCGGACGCTTCGAATTGATTCAAAGCTTTTAATTGGTCTCCTATTTAGATTCGGATTCTGAGATTCAGTCCTGGAATCGGGCCAAAGCTCCTCCAACTCAAATCAACTACCTAAGCTTTGCACAGCCCTAAAATTGAGCATTAAGAGATGTTCATACAATACAATTAGTTCAAATTAAAACCAGATCCACTAGCATTCTTTGGTTATATCAGTCATGTATATTTTATTATGTAGGTTAGCTTTTGTCTTGCTTTTTACCAGACAGATATTCAATTTTGAATCAACTGAAATCAGAGTCATAACTTGCATCGGCAGCTTAACCCTGTTCTTTCTTCTCAGAGTAAGGAAGAAGTGATGGCAGTAAGACTCCGTGAAGCAGACCGCATTGCTGCAGTGGCAGAACTCCAGCAACATATTGCTGAACTAGAAATCCAGGTAACAAATGACAGCCATAAACGTTGAAAGTGTTTCTTAATTCTGGTTCTGATCTGTTCTTTACTTTTTCTCCTTTCCATTTACTCCTTTTTCCTTCTCATTAAAGCATATGACTCTGCTATTGAAATGTTGGGAAAGCTTTACTGTTAAATATGAGCCATTCTGATGCATAAAGATGTTGCTATATATCCAATAATAACACTTCTTGTAAGTTATAAATTGCTTACAAGCCAGTGACAAGAAATAGTATGTTTTCTCATGATCTCTAGCATGTGTATTTGCCTTTTTTGCCTTTGTAGACTTCTACCACTGAATGTTTCAAAGACTGAACATTTCCCACTAGGTGAAAAGTTTTGTTTGGAGCCAATTTTCCACAGTCTCTCTCAGGGGTTGTCAAGTGGGGGTATGAATACCCCTGGGGGTACACCGGTTCTAGGGGGTACGCGCAGGCAGGCGGGGATAAAGCGCTGCTGCCTCCCAGGAGCAGGGGCCGGGGCCAGGAAAGGGCAGCAGTTCCCCTTTGTGGGGTGAGAAAGCTTGCACGCAGCAACCGCTGCCGCCACACACCAGCCCGATGAGCTTCTCTGCCCTGCAGAGAGGCTCTGCTGCCTTCACCTTAGCCCGGTGAGCTTCCCCATTCTGCCACAGCCCTGTTCCTGGGAGGCGGCAGCGCTCCATCCCCACCTGCGCGCCACCATTGCTGCCTCCCTGCTAAGCATCTGGCTGCATGCCACTCTCCCACCCTACCTCTCCCCTGTTTGGTGTCTGGCCACCAGCGGTACTTAGACTAAAAAGTGGTTGAAAACCCCATGTCTATCTTATTTGGACTGAATCCTACTAGAAACAAATTCATAGAAGTTGTCCTAAACCCATATTTGCCTTGTCCTAGTGTTATCTATTCTGGATTCTGTAACTTGACCTATCACATAGAAATCCTGTTTGCAGTGAGGCTCCTCTCCCTGTAGCAACTGAGCATACTTCCTTTTGGCTCCTATCTTGACTGTCTCTCTCCTTTCAATCTCTACTTTTGGCACTCTCACTCCATGGCCTAACTCTTGCTCTAGGAATAATAAATGACTATCTACTTGCTATTTTTTGCCTTTCACAAGTCATGACTTAATGCCATATTGTGTCTCTATTATGGTACAGCTATCCTACCTGAATTTTGTTATGTCACCCTAGAGTTTTTTTTTGTAGGGGCTATCCTCCCTGTAAGTTTTCAGTTACAGGTGTATCTCAACTTCCAAACTGGTTATGATTTGTTCTTCCCCTCTGAAATTTTGCCTTCAAAACATACCTCTTTGCTTATTGTGACCAGGCTTTTTTCTTCCTGTGATTCTTCAACTAAGTATATATTTTCCTAACCCCTGAACTCATCTATGTATTCCAGTATGTTTTTTCAGTAGTGATTACTGTTATGCAAGCTACCATGCTTAAATAAATCAAATATCCTCTGTGTAAAGTGTCCTTTATTGGAATATTTTTCCTAAAGTGCAGCAGTCACAAAGCTGATTAAAAGATAGAATAATCATTTGTTTTAATCACATAATGTCTATATATTACAGTGATTGGTACATTAAAATGCATAGATAAGCAGTTCATATGTGATACTTTACTTATCTTCTCTGAAGAAAGATAAAAAAGATTGCTGTGTCTTGGTCAGTCATTTTCATTTACAAAAGGTGCTGCATAGTTTTTCTTTTGCATTCATTTTAGTACATAGGTATAAGGGCCAAAATGAACAATTAAATAATCTAGTTTAACATAAGCCATAGAATTTCCTCCTGTTACCCAACAGTTGCCTGGTTTATTTATTTTTTTTTAAAGCAGGTTAACTGATCTTGATTTGAAGGCATTGAGGTATAAAATTCACCACTTCCCCCTAGTAGTTTGTTTCAATGGTAAAACAGTACATATTTCTTAGTACAAATGAATTTGTCTGGCTTTAACTTCCATCAGTTTGGTCCGTGTTCCTTTTTCTGATTTATTAAATAGACCATAAGTACCCTTTTTTTCCTCCTTGTTTAAGGTACTTGTACACTGTAATCAAATCATCTTCCAATTTTTTTTTGGTAAATCTAAACAAACTGAACTGTCTCCAACACATTTTCTTCAGCACTCAGATCATTTTGAGGCTCCTTTTCTACAACGTCTTTTTTCAATATTAATTTTAGCTTATGGATACTAGAATTGTAATATTTTATATTTCTCATCCATGTTTTGTTAATGTTAAATTCACATCATGACTTTTGTTTATGCATTCAAGGATCATATTTCTCCCTCTGTCACAATGCTGGTGCTCAGGTTTGGTTACTTATTCACTGTAATCTCTAATTCATAGAATTATAGAGAAGTAGGGCTGGAAGTGACCTTCAGATGTCATCTAGTCAAGTCCCCTACCCAGGGCCAGATTAACGTGTAGGCAAACTAGGCACATGCCTAGGGACCTGAACTGCAGGGACTCTGGTCTTTCCCTCTGCAGTGGTGGCATGAATGGCCCTATCTGCCTCCCTTCCCCTTCCCTGTGATGGGCTTGCCACAGTGGCAGCTGCTTCCTAGCAGTGGCTCCAGCCCCACTCCCCGTGGGTGGAAGTGCCAGGGTGGGGAAGGGGGGTGTCAACTGGCCTGGGGCCCACAAATTTCTTTGCCTAGGGCCTACTAAAGGGTTAAGCTGGCCCTATCCCTTCCTCAGGCAGGATCATCCCTATCCAAACCATCCTATACAAATCCATTGTCTCAACCCTTAGCAAAACCACACAGTCAGTGTAATTTTACACTCAGTTCCTTTTAGAGTCACTGCTTTCAAGGATACAGCCCCTTATTTTGTTGGTATGGTCTACATTCCTTATTTCCTAGATGCATGACCTTGTACTTGGCTTCATTTAACATGCATTTCACATAGTGATCCTATATAATTAGGCCTCACTGCTGTTGCCTGGTGTTTTTTCAGACAAATGCATTTACTGTATTTATTTAAATCTACAATGAGTCCCTCTGTTTAACATGGAGTTGTGGGGGAGCTCTCACCTTGGATATGAGTACTGGCCCAGGGCAGGCGGCGGCTGTGGCTCGAGCCTTATCCCCGACTCTGAAACCAGAGTCACCATCTGCCCCAGGCCATGGTTCATGCAGGAGGGGGAACACAGGGGAGACCTCATGGTAGTAAGGGGGCAATATAGGGAAGACTGGGGAGATTATAGGGGAGGGAGTGTCTCTTTTGGATGGGGCCACCCTGTGCTCTGTGCCTCTGGTTAGGGCCAGAGCCAGAGGAATTGTACAGGGTAAGAAGCAGTGGGAGGAGGCAGGTGGCATGGATGCAAATAGCAGGAGGAGGGTGGGGTGGGAAGGGGCATTAGTCGTGCATAGTGTTCTGCATTTTTTGTTTTTTACTGATTTTTAACTGATAAATTCCCTGATCTAGCCCATTCCCATCTTGTGCCAGTTAACAGGGATTTGAACTGAAAAACGGGTGGTACCAGTAAGCTAAAAGTGTCACTGTGCCAGTTACCTGAGGCACAGGTTTCTAGCTGGATGCACAGTGTGAGGGTGGGGGTGGCAGCAGCTGTATGCGGGGGGGGGTTGGCAGTGACCGCATGGGGGACCAGGGGAGGGGGGCAGCTGGGGTCACAGGGCTCCCAGCTTTGACCCTGGACAGGGTGGGTTGCAGCAGCAGCCTGCTCTCATCCTACACTCAGATCCAGGGACACAGGCCCCCCAAGAAGAGCCTGGTGCAACTCACAGCCCTCCCAGGGGACAAGTAGCAGCAAGAGCCGTGACACCTCGCCACGCATCCACTGACAGCTGCCCCTGCTTTGCTCCCTGCTGCAGTCCTGGGAGTGGCCAACGGGCTGCACCACACCCCTCCCCCTGCTCCTTCCCTAGTCCCACTCTTACTCTCTCCCTCCCTCACTGCCAGTTTTTTCTTCTGATTTACACTGACATTTTTCCCCCCTTTTGCTTCTTTTTATCCTGCTCTCATCCCGGTTTTTATGTTTCGAAGATGAGCCCAAAAAAATTCCCAGATTTTTTTTTTTTTTAAATAAAAAACAGAGAATGCAGAACACAAGCCATGCAACAGGGAGCAGACACCGGCAGGGAGACGAGCTTCTGGGGGTGACAGGCAATGGCAGGGGAGGTTAAGTAGCAGGTGGGACAGGTGAATGGCTATGCGAGTAGGCGCAAGTAGGGATGAGTGGCAGGGGGGTAGTAGCAGGGGGACAGTTGGTAAGGGCAAGTGGCATGGGGCAGACAGGAATAGGGGAGGAAGCGGTAGGGGTCTGGCTACTTCCCTCCCTCTGCTGCTGCTTTCCCTGCCATAGTGGTGGGAGGGGAGATGAATTTAAGGTGACCTTTCAATAATTAGATTCCATCCAGGGAAAATTATAACGAATTTATGATTTTTCATGGATAGAATCTAATTATTGGGGGGTTGCCTTAAATTCAATGTTGTCTTGGATTTGGGTGAATATAGTAGGTCATTCAGAAAATTTGCTCCGTTAAGCTCTTTGCGCACTGATAATCCTATTTACAAGTTTTATATCTTTCGAAATTTAATTCAAGCGGATGGAAAAATGGACAGTGTAAATATCTGTTTATCCTAGATCTATTGAATACAAACAAATTGCTTCAACACAAGTCAGTGTTTCCCAGTAGAAGCACTGTACATTTTTCAAATGTAGCAGTTTAAATTTAGGGAGTAAAATTCTATTTTGCAATGCTTTTGGTAGCTATTT